CAACCCCTCAGTGCTGCAACTTGAGATGATGATTAAGAAAACAGAGTGGCCATATTTTGAATTCAGAGAAAATCAAGTTTTGCAGTTATAGCCATCTATTGTATATACTGTGGAACTGGGATAGACCCACTGTATAAATATAGCCCCTTCCTTTTGAATTCGTTCTTATTGGCCCATCATTCAGTCATTCTTTTCTTTCCTATCATTTCCTCTTCTTTTTTTCTTGTGGTATCAAACGAGGGCTAAAGCCCAAAACTCAAACTAAACTAACTAAAACTCAAACCAAACTAACTGGGGACTTTCTCCCACGCTTTCTGCTTCCACTACTGCCCTGAGGTTGGTTGGGCAGACATCAAAAAACAAGGATTCAGAGATCCCTCTTTTTGCTAGCGTATCAGCGACTCTGTTACTTCCGCTTGGAATCGGTTGAATAACAAGCTCCCAATTGTACTTGAGCATATTCTGAATTTGTCTGATCATTAGACTGCTGGTGCTATAAGAGTTGTCGTCCAATACTAGATCAACAACAACTGCCGTATCAGATTCAATCACAATCTGCTTGAACCCAAATTGCCATGCAAAATAGAGTCCTTTATAGAAGCCCCATTCCTCTGCCTCTTGAGCGCTGCAGTTTCCAATCTTGTACGTAAAACCAGCTATCCATCTTCCAATGTGATCACGAAACACCCCTGCACATCCTGCCTGATTAGAAGTTTTAGCCATAGCTCCATCGACCTTAATCTTAATCCAGTTTGTTGGTGGAGGAGCCCACTTCCTATTGAGAGTAGTGTTAATTTTCTCTACAGGAGTGGGTAAAGATTCCTTAAGCGAATAGTTTTGCCAGATATTCAAAATCACCTCTGCTGGTTGTTGCGGCTTCTCAGAAGTTCCAGAAAAAATATTCTCATTCCTCCAGTTCCATAATTTCCAGATAGCTACGCCCCAAAGACATTTCCAATCACCAGTTCCAGATTTACCTAAGTTACTTGTCAGATTGAGCTCAAACCATTGTTTCAGAGAGTACCTGAAAAAAGGAACTAAGTACCTCTGTTGAAGCACCTCGATCCAGATCTTTCTAGCATAGTCACAATCTCTCAATATGTGCAAGAGAGTTTCTGTTTCAGCATTGCAATAAGGACAGCTGGCTGACACTGGAGACGAGCTGCTCCTCCAAGCATTTGTTGGGAGTCTATCGTTATAAGCTCTCCACAGGAACACTCGGATCCTCTCTACCCCTTCCCACTTCCATATACGTTTATAGATGGGATTATATTGACTAATGGGTTTCTTCTCAATCATAAAATAAGCACTCTTAATGCTAAATTTACTATTAGGAGTAGCATTCCACACCACAAGATCATTTCCTGCTTCCTCATAAGGCGGTAGACAACTGATTAGATGTTGGGGGGCATCATTATTTAAAACTTCCTCAACTTTCTGAAAGTCCCATCCTCCATTTAGAGTCCAATCTACAACAGTGGTTTCCATTTCCTTTTCTGTCAGCTCCTTCACACACATATGCTTTAATTCCTTATCTGGAAAGGGCCATTTATCATTGAAGAAATTGATGAGTTTCCCATTCCGTAACCTCCACCTGGTTCCTTCTTCAACCACATCTCTTTAATGACAAATAAACTTCCAGATCTTCGAGTCACCTTTCTGGAGAGTGAGCAGGTTTCCTTCGTCACGCAACATGTATCTATTGCTTAGAACTTCTATCCATAGATTCTTGCCACCCATTATTAAATTCCAAGCCAATTTTGCACCAGAAGCCAAGTTGACTGAAGCTAGACGTCTGAATCCAAGTCCCCCATACTCTTTAGGTCGGGTAAGCTGATTCCAACCTATCGGATGATAGACTTGTTCACCTTGCCTCTGCCCCTATATGAAGTTCCTTTGGAGCCATTGAAACCTCATCACAAATCTTTCTGGGGATTTGAGCAACTAACATTGGGTATATAGGTACAGAACTTATTACTGATTTTGATAAGGTAATTCTCCCTGCTATTGATAGGCTGTCAACTTTCCAAGTTGTCAATTTAGATTTCACCCTGTCAGTGACATATTGAAAGTTTTCTGTCTCTCTTCTTTTTCGCATTAAAGGGAAGCCCAAATATTTCCCAATATCATTAGAAATTTTCATTTGAGTAATTGCCTTAACTCTCTTCTTCAAATCACAAGGGACTTTAGGAGAGAAGAAAACAGAAGACTATGTATTAATCTTCTGACCCAAGGCTTGTGAGAATTCATCTAAACACTTCATCATACATAAAACTTGCTTTTCTGATGCTTCCCCAAAAAGTAGAAGATCATTTGGAAACATTAAGTGAGATATAGATGGCCCGACTCTACTCACCTTTATAGGTTTCCATGAATTATCATTCACTGCATCTATTATGATATGAGACAATCTGTCCATACACAAAACAAAGAGCAAAGGAGAGATAGGATCTCCTTGCCTCAATCATCTTTGCGGTATAAAATAGTCCGTTTGGGTCCCATTCCACAACACATTATAAGAGACAGAGACAGTCGTGATACATTCCATTACTAGAGTAATAAAGGCTTCCTCCAACCCAATGTCAACCAGCACTTGAGGCAGGAACTTCCATTCCATTTTATCACAAGCCTTTTCCATATCTATTTTCATTGCCAACAAACCTTTTTTTCCTTTTGCTCTCTTCATAATATGCACAATTTCCAGCCCAATTATAATATTGTCTTGTATATTCCTCCCTTTTATAAAGCTTGCTTGAAAGGGGGAGATAATTTCATCCATAATAGCTCTCAACCTGAAGGTGATAATCTTTGTTATGCATTTATAGTGCACTGAACACAAAGAAATAGGTCCTATCATTTCCTTTGGTTTTACATTGAGGGTTCATTTTTCTCGGATCAGTATCAAAATTCAAGCCCTGTAACTCAATTGATCTTTGATGAGACAAGCCTTAAGGCCGAGTCCAATTGCCTCACTACTCACTACTGTGGGTGTACACTGGATAATTTTGTGCAAGTCACTCTCTTTCAAAACCATAGTCAAAGCGATATGATGATTAAATTTACTTAACAATAATACTTTATTCTCTTTTTCATAAATTATTTTACATTTACGACTGCGCTTACTTAGGTGGCCCACGTCCCTAACAGCAATATATAGCAATATATAGCACTTAACAAAACAGCGATATGCAGCACTTAACAATTTTAGTTCAAAATTCACATTGCGAGTTTTAAATACATCAAATGTTAAATTGTAAAGTTAGATATATTGTGAGTTATCAGTAAATTAGTTTTTTTTTTGGTAATATCAATTTGGCCAAAAAAAGTTAAAAAAAAAAGGCAGTGCATGATACAGTTTGATACAGAAAATCAGTGGAGGCGTGCAAGATTATACTAAGTCATCTCTATATAAAGACGAGATGGAATTCTTCAACGTCGGGGATCCGATGGAAGTTTTGTATTTATAATTTAGGTGCATCAAACAACGATTTCTTTTCCTCTTATCTATAAATTCCATAGCTACCGCTCCTAATTTTGAGCACTACAATCTCAAATCAATTCTTATCATTTAAACTATTATAATCATCTAAACAGGTAATCACCTTAAACAATCTGACTAAAAAATATTTTATTTGATAGTAAGATTTGTTGATTTTTAATACTTATTGAATAATGATCAATTTAATGTATTCATGGTTTTTGGCGGTTTAGTTATAAATTAATATTTGTTTAGCTGATACTTAGCAATCTGCATCCATCATAAAATTTTAATGCATTATATAAGGAAAAGTATATGAGGAGATATTGTTATATGTTGAAGTGAATTCGTAAGATTTTTTTTTTTTAATTTTCAAATAATTTTTTGGCTTCAAAGGTATGAAGTATTTTCTTAATTGATACTGGGATAAAATAACTCCCTATTTATAAGCTTCCACAAAATCTACGTGCAAGGATCGCCCAAAATCTGTTTGCATTTATAGTTATATGGACCAAGGGTCTCTTTCACCATGTTCCATTTAGGAGTATATTATAAACTAATGTATGCCTTAATGCATACATCAATTAATTAATATTCTATATGAATTATGGTCCTTAAATTAATTTTAGAAAGGCTAATCTCCCCGCGCTATGCACGGGTAGTACATACTAGTTATCTTTAATAAGAAAAATACTCTTCTGATCCTTAATATAAGACTTATTTAACTAATTTGATTAAATTAAACAAATTAAATAAGTTAGTTAATTATAGAAAAACATGATATATTTTTCCTAAAACATCATAATCATCTTTCTTAATATCTTACATGCCTCTCCTACTTAGTTATGGTTGAGAGAATATCGATAAGAATAATTTAAAAAAAATTAATAAATATAAAAAATAAGTACCATATTTAAGATCAAAATCAATTGAATAATTAGATCCTATATTAAATACCAAAGAAATACATATGCATTGGGAAAAAAAAAACTTATGAAAAAAAATGAAAAGCTTAATTAATTGTACAATAAAGCAAAATATTAACAAGAGAGCCCTTCAATATAGAATCACAAATTATTTCTTCTTCCAATTCTTTTGATATGTTCGGATGCATGCAAAGCTATGTTAAACCATTTTGACAAAACAAAAAAGAAAAAAGAAGAAGAAGAAGAAGCTACGTTAAACCGACTTGACACATTGTGACTATTGATATAATTTGACTTTAAAAACAAAAATCCAAAAAAAAAAACAAGCTTTTTACTTTTCAGGTGATTTTGTTGAATCACAAATGATTTCTTCGAATCCTTTTTATAATACTCGTTTTGAAAAAGAGAGATTGAGGATGAGGAGTAATGTACTTTCTCCCCACGACGAGATCTAATCTCCATGGCAAAGTATAATTACTGGCAACTATTTGTATTTTGTACCAAGCTGAATGGCTCATCTGAAAGAACCTAAAATGAAGCTGCGCCAAGGTAAGGCTACAAAAGAAAAATAATTGAACTCCCAGACTAACTTCAGCTCTAGTAAATAAACAACTCCACATAAGTCGTAAAAAATAATATAAAATAAAAGGCTGATGCATCATAATCTTCCAGGCCAATTTGGAAAAAAGAAAAGCATGATGATCTTCAATCTTCTCAGTGCTGCAGTCTATCTGATATGCATGACAAACAAAATCAATCAGGAAGATGATTACCTGGATAAGGGCCGTAAAAAGGCATTATATAGAATTCAATGTATATCATCAGATCAGTGCAGACAAATAGACATGCTTAATCCACTAGATGATATGGTATTAGATGTATAAATAATACCAATAAGCCACAAATACATATTATAGTTCGGGTTATGCACCTTCTGGCCCGACAAAAACGATGCCCAACTTGTCAATTCCTCGCCAAATTTGGTAAAAGCCAACCTTCCTATCTTTGAGAGTCACAACATTGAGGAAATTCGCAATTGCAAGCACCTGTTCTGACCTGGTTCAAAAGTTTCGAACGAACAATTTTAACCCGAAAACTTGAATTCTAGAATAACACTAATTTATTACTAGTAACAGTTTATAGGCATCAACATTGCATCTCTAATGGTTCCAAACCTCTTTATGATAGCAACTAGTGACAATACTATAGTAAGACATAAACCGTGGGCATGGGCATATACATGAATTCCATATGTATTGGATAATTCTTGAAAAGGAACCATGCTTAGTGTTCTTGTATTATGCAACAAAGTGGGTTTTGAGGAATACAGATCAGACACATTAGTGTGGGGTAACTGATCATATTGACCAAAATAAAGGGGGAAAATACAACAGCAAATCAAACGGGACAGGGCATCACTTAGAAAGGAGAAAGTGACAAGCAAAGGGCAGCAATTGACATAACTTCTTAAGGTAATTCAGAAGACAGGATCAAAAGCCCTAACTGGTGGAAGTGGTTTACCACTAAATATCCTCCATCTTTCCTTGTGTTTATGATGCATAGATACTTTAAAAGGGGATTAACAAGTTGCTCTCAGGAAGACAAAAAGCCAAAAACAGGAGATCCACAAACCTTTCGAAAAGTAAGAGATACCCTTCTTGAAGCTCTTCTGATAACTCTTTCATTCACCTTGTCAATCTGTGGGAGTTAAAACCCTCATGGAATTATTTATAGACAAAATTATATGATCAAGGCACACCTAAAAGTATATTAAGAAAGGACGAGTGTTTCTGATCGATCTTCAAAGTTTCATGCTAATAAAAGGAGAAAGTTGTCATTATTAATCCAGAAATGACATTATCAAACCTTGTGGTGAGGAATGTAATGGTGCCATGCATATCGCGCTTCTCCAGACATCAGTAGCATAGATCGGGGGGGAAGATAGATAGCCTTCTGAATAAAATTTAGATCATCCTCTGGACTTTCCACTTTTGTGACAGTACCTGAGGCAACTCTAGGAACCCAATCACCATTTGCGTATCTCCTGAACTCCATTATACAAGGCCCAGCTAATGAAAGGCTGAAAATTAAATCTTCAAATGCAGAATGGGTGTCTATATGAGGGGACAAGCCCACACCAGAAGGGTACTCGTTTACCTGTATCATAATATTGACACTCAAAACGTCAGACATGAGTAGACAATATTAATATATAAAATAACCTAATGGTAACAACATACTTGTAATAAATATAAAATTCCATTAGTTCAGCAATACTTAGCTTACCGTAAGTTGGTCCAAAACTACATTTTCAGAATTCCTGAGAGTTGGGAATAATGAGATCCTTTCGAGTATGGGGAAAACAAATGATGGAAGTTCACCCAAGCGGTGCTTTGTATTAACATTCCTTGTCTGCACAGCCAAATAGAAGTGGACAGTAAAGCCTATGGCAATCAATATTATTCTTGTATTACTCAACATGGTATTTTGTCTTGAGTAGTACTTGAAACCTTTCAGGAAGGAAAAAATCACCAATTGAGCAAAAGAATCAGTCATCTGACTTGGAAGAAATCAGATTGTAATAATTTAGGGGCAATAACAACGACTAAATGAAAAGCATAACGGCATAGAAATTAGAAAAATAAATACATAAAACCGGATAATAGCACCAATATGATATTATGGTTGAACATGGAAATTAGTCCCACATAAAGAGGAGAAAGATCTTGCTTTTGTATTAGATAAATGACTGAAAGAATTTGATTAAATATTTAATATTTGTAGTAACGGTTTATAGATGGCATCTTGGGATGGACAGTGTTATGGCGGAATAGAGGCAAAGAAAAAAGAGATTTTGATGATCTTTATTTGGGCTATTGGACGTGAGATTATTTGAAGCAAAATGCACGTAGATACTCACTCTAGTCCTATATATAAGCTACAAATAACCAAATTACATAGATAAAAAAGTTGGTCAAAATTGGTTAAATTGAACGTGTAAAAAATGCAAGCTTTTTCCAAATATACCCTTATTCATGAAGAAATTGAGTGAGAGAGAGAGTGAGTGGGAAAAGAGATGAGAGAGAATAAGTGAGAAACAGACATGAGTGAGACATGTAATTAAAGGGGAGTAAAAATGGGAAAAAACGCATTAAATGTTCAGACATATTCAAAGTGTAACTTGTAAAAAGGACCAGATCCCTTTAAAAAATTGTAGTTTATAAAAAGGACCAGAGTGAGTATATTCTAAGCATACCAACCAATATAACGATGCACCAATTTTGATGAAAAAAAGTATTGGTGCATCGTGATTACAAAAAATTTACTATCAGGTTATAAACTTACATCATAACAAAACTCATAACCATAGTGTTGAACCCTTCTTTTGGAAAGATGATTCCAAGGTCTGCAGTCAACTTCTTGGAGCAATGCCTGGGAAGATGGAAAAGGACCATACTCATCATATGAGAATTAAATTAGGAATAGAAATATAACATTGAAAAAGAATTACAAATATGAAAAGAAAAACTATATTAAAGCTAAGGCAAAAAAACAGCTAACCTTCTCTTCTTTAGTACTAATGAAGTCATGCACAAGGTAAAGGCCTGGAATGCTAAGATCTGAGGCTGTGATAGACACAGGAACCAAGTTATTTACCTGACTCTAAACAAACATGTAAACTTATCAACAAACATGGATAATGAAGAAATCCATTGAAACAATCAACATTAAAAGGAAAATCATCTCCTCACACAAGTAATTTACCATTTATTCAAACAACTTTTTTCAACTTAAACATTCAATTAGGGATGACTAAATTTTCTCAAGTAACAAAATATGATAATAGACAGAACACATAATTATAAATAAAGTGATGTCTTTTCATATACACCTCAACGCAGCATAGTAACTGAATATTAATTCAGGATCCGTCTTTGGGCCTAGTTGAGAGATGGGGGTAAGATGGCTTTGGAAGGAATCCAAGGAAAAGCTTTCCAAAGCTCTTCAGGACATCAAATTAAGACACATTAAAGGAAACCAGAAAAAAATATGGAATTTAATTAAATGGAAACTAAGAAATAAGAGAAAAAAGAATCCTGTCTTGAAGGACACGACAATTTGTTGAAATTACAAGTGTGTGAAAATAGGTGATATTCAAGAGGATCGTATAAATCAAATTGGAAAGGAAGTTTGTGTTTCATCTCTTTGCTACAGAAAAGCTGAAGAAAATTTGACCTTCAATCACTTGATATTAATTAATCACTTAATATTAATTAGGCTCACAAAGTCAAGCAGATAGAAATTGACCACAATACTACTTGAGCATAACAACAAGAATGCCGACTATTACAGCAACAACATGTGCTTATAAGGACGATAATGTGCTCAGCCTTTATGATCAAAACAATATACTTTATTCACATTTCTTAAGACTTTGAAGTTGCCCAGCACAGCTGGAAGCTTAGAGAAATACCGATCAATATCCAAGTCAGCATGATTGGGAAAAACACTGCTCTAGTTTGGTTGAAAAACCCAAGGGCAATTGGTTCTGATAAGAAGAAACAAAAACTGTAATAGTCGGATCTAAATTGAGTTAGAATCATTCTGGCTTTAAGAAATAGTTGTGACTGATATATACAATTGGAAAAGAGAAAGATACAACTCTGAGCACATAAGAAGAGCAAAGTCTTCTTCCACTGAAGGATCTGATTATACTTTCATCCTTACAAGCTGTACCTCATATAGAAACTTGAAAATCCAGCTTCTAAGTTTTGTAGAATTGATAATTCTGTACATTAGAATTTCTCACACATTTGGAAAAAAGGCAAGTAATAATTACCTCTACATTCTATTCTTAGAAATGGAAGCCAGTGAATGAGCACATAGTTTTTGAAGCAACAAGGATTTTCCCTAAACCCCTCATATCCCTAAAGTTTTTCAGGTCAAGAATTTACATGAAAGATATCAATATCATTCCATCAATTTCAAAATAATTATTTACCACATTGCTTGAGAAGATCCAATACCTGTGAAATAGGCTGAAGCATCGAGTAACGAATATGTAAAGATCGGCCTCTGAGTTTGGAACACGGAATTCCATTTAACACCCTTAAGGCAGCTTGGGCAGACCTTTCTTCAGAAAAAGATACAATGACACGGGTACCACTCTCATCTGCTGCATAAACTCCCTTTACATCCCCAAATTCACTAAACACAGATGCGATAGCATCATGGGAAAGTCCCACAGCTGGGCCACAGTTTGCAACATAGAGGTTTGGACTCAATTCACCATCATTCTTAGGACGCACAAACCTTGCCATAGCCACTAATCTTTTATCACTCTTCAACTACAAAAATGGATAACTGAAGACTCAGTTCTAGTGGAGTCAAATGTACAATAAGGTTACAATGAATTGCAATAATCTAACAGCTATAAAATACTATACACAAACACCCAGCAAAACACTATTTTCAATAATGAGAAATGACTCAAGCAAAATACTGAACCACATAAAAGACAGACAAAACAAATATCACAATAGGTCTGCATTATATGGGTTAAAATCCAAACATTTGAAGATAAGACCCCCCATCCAAGTTGTGAATACATAGGGTTCTTATATATAGGCTTTAGTTCAGATTAATGTTGTTGGTCTGTTTCTTCTGGATGTATGTATTCATTAAAAAAAAAAAAAAGGGAAAATTTTCCATCAATTTTCTCATCTTGGTTGAGGAACATAAAAGCCAGCCTGAATGCTGATGTGCTATGAGTAGCAGTGTAGAAAGAGAAGCTTTTTTCTTCATAATAATTAAAATAAGGTGTCAGGTTATAATGCAGAATTACCCATTATGGGCTGTCGCAATGAACCAAACTGATCATCAAGTCCTCCTTTCAAAAGGAAAAACATGTAATGCATGCTTTGTATTAGAACTATCAAAGCAGGCTAGTCCATACTGGCTTGTCACAAGTAAGTGGGCTCAATTGCTCAAATTTACAAATCAAGCCTTTCTTAGTTTCTAGGTTTTTTGGTCTTCAACTATGTAAGACTATAGAATTTCATCGAAAGATAACCAATACAAAAAGTTATTCATTTCAAACTCCTTGACTAAGGTACAAAAAGTTCATTTGCTTCACTAAAGTTTCTTACCATCAACATGAATTCAACAAACTCAACAAGTTGGTTTTCAAGGACTTGATGCAACAGGGAACTATTTTGCTAGTCACACATAGTTGTGACTTGCCTCTTGCAGGCTCTTGGGGAAAGAGGGGGAAAAGGGGAGGGGTCGCACTAAAACTTAAGTTTGATGACATCAAATCAATAAATTTATTTCATTTTTCAGCTACGATCAAAATCGGTTAAAATGGCCACTTTTAGTCGTTCTACATATTGGGCTTATCTTGGACAACATAGGAAGCTACTGCACCAAAAAAAATTTTTAAAAAAAAAAACTATATTGTTACGTCTCAGGATCCACAACCTATATATTTTCCATCTTATGTTCAACTCAAAGTTCTTCAATTTTTAAGTTTTAGGAGCTCATCTATCACATGTGCTTTGACCTATATCTAAATATAGCTACTCCGAAATGGTTGGTAAACGCCGTTAGATAGGTTGAATGCCAATTAGCACGTCGAAATGAGGACTTCGATCCTAGGACATACAGTTTCTGACGCCAAGTAAATCAAAGCTGGCAATTGAACAGACCCGCAGGTTTCATCCACCTAGGCATTCATAATCATCCTTCATGAGCAACCAACTCAGGACAGGCGCCAAGCAGCAATAATGCAAATATCATCCACCAGAACATTGCCACCAGCCAATTCTTATCTCATATTTCATAAACCCAGACTCAACAGTGGGGAGAAGGTGGATACTAACAGCGGTGCAGAGAACAACGTCCAAATCGCCGACCAGCTAACACGGTGGCGCTGCGGATGCAGGTGGCTAGCGTTCCTCTAGGATAGTGTTGGTGTTGGGATCGGGCGTCGCCGTTCGCGGGCGCTGAGGCTGAGCGACGCCAATGAGGTTGGGGCGTTAGTGGGAAGCGCGGGATGGCGGAGGGGAGGGCAAACAGACACAATTCTCCAGGCCTAACTTCGCATTCTTCACAATCAATTAAATTTTATTAATAAAATCAATTATTAGACGAGAATATTTCTAAAAAGAAATTTAAATTTTATTAGTCTAACTAATTTTTTTGCCCTTATAATCTAACTAATTTAAACTATATTTTTTAATAATTAGTAAGTCATCAAAGAAAATAATAACTTCATTTCTGCTGACTTCTTTTTTTGGATATATAATTCACTTCAAATCTTTAACAGCATTTATAAACTAATTTATTGTTCACTCAACATTCAAAAGTATTTTTTGCATAATGCTTGTTATTCAATATTCTCCAATACCTTTTTAAAAAATATTTTTTTATGTATCCAGCATCTTAAAATATTTTTTAGTTGTTGAGAAAAATAGAACAAAATTACACAAAAAATAATAATAAATTGGTTTAGAAGACTACTAAGAAATACCTCATGTGCTTTAAAATTCCTGGTGATTATTGAATGAGATTCCAACGAGAAATTTCTTCCTTAAAATTAAATATCTTTACTATATTTACTTCCTTAAATTCTTCTTTTAGAATCTGTTTGATTAGGGAGAGAGATTTTAATGGGAGATGGGGAAAAAATGGCAGAATAGTGGTTTTAATTGAGAGGAGGGAAGTGGCTTTAATATTATTTTGTATGGTTCACAAGAAGGGAGGAGAATAATTTTTAATTTTTATACGGACAATTTTATTTTTATTTTAATAATATGTAGATAGGATCAAAAATTAAAACATCCTAGTTAATTATTAATTAATATATTAATAAAAAATAATATTTTTGCCAACATTAAAACAATTAATATGATTTTTATATCAATTTAAAATATCCCACCAAAATAAGTAAAATTAAAAAGCGACCCCATAGAACTGAAGAAGCGTCACCTCCTCCTCTGAAACCTGTGGAGCGAATTCTTTTTGGAATTTTCTCCAATAAAAATTCTTTTGAATTATGGTAGTCAATGATCGCCCAAGCCTTCTGCTACGTCAACCCACTCTCGCCTGTGCTGTGCAATGTGGATAAGCCATAGACCATCCTAACCTCCAAGTTGAAACTAACGGTCATAAAAAAAATAGAGAAAGATCGAAGTTTGTGTGCCTGGTTTTGGTCATATTTTTGTCTTCATTTCAAATTTAAAATCGAAACCCTTCCCAGAGCTCACATGGCGAAGCTTACTCCTTCACCTTCTCCCGTGACATAATTCTTTTGAAGCCTTCGATGGAGGCAAGGAGACTCGCCATTTTGTGTTCCCATCTTCGCCCCATCGGGTTGAGTCCCGATTATAGTTCGTCTCACCGTTTGCGGGTTTCGGGTTTGCCTTGTACTTCTTCCTCTTCTGATCGGGAAAATCGATTGCGTGATACGCAGAAAGAGAAGTTGCAGGATGATTGCATTTTCTGTAAGATTGTCCGTGGCGAATCACCCGCTTTCAAGGTATGATTTTGGCTTCTGGATTTTCTTGCCTTCTTATTCTTAAGGGTCTTGCGCCTCTTGTTCTAGTAAATACAAGCCAATACGTGATTATTTGTTTGGTGGCTGAGAAAATTGTGGAAATATGATATTTTTGATATCTTGTGGGCAATCTGGTATTGAAGTTGCTCTAATATAGCATTCAATTGCATCTAGTTAAGAAATGGTGAAACTGATCGGAAAGAGACTTATAGAACCTACTGGGTCCTCTCGCACTTTCAAGGCATTGAATAAAATTTCAAAACTCTTCATATGCATGTTGTACAAGGCGTATTTAATGAGTTCACCAACTTGTTAAATCTTGTGAGGGTTGTGGTTGTTCTTTGCCAACTGTTTGGAACGTTCTACTGCTGCTTTAAGTGGTAGTAAACCAAGTACCCAACTTCTTATGATACAGAAAACAATATCTCTCTCTCTCTCTCTCTCTCTCTCTCGCGAATGGGCTAACGGTCATTGATATGACAAACGAGAATGCAGGCCCCCATGGTTGCTTAACTATTATAAAGCGGATAATATTATGTCCATGAGAAAGTGATGACGTGACCTGCTTATACAATCATAGAGACTGTAAGGTTTCTTGCGAACACTGTTCGTATAACTTGTTCATTTCATTTCTTAATCTGAAGTGGCGAAGATTTAATATTCACTCTAAAATGGTGTTAATGCCATTGGCTTGGAAGTTCATGGGTTTTTGGTTGCCCACATATTAAATGATTTTAGAGATTAAATTTACAAGTTTCCAATTGTATTAACTTTGTTCTTTTTTAGACCATCACAAATTCGTTCTCATTGTTGTGATGCAGAAATTGACATTGTGGACAATACTCTAGGAACTTTTTCCATACTAAAAGCAAACTTTGCTGTCTTTACTGATATTTTTGGACATTCTGACAAATTTTCTCCTTTGATTATCGTTTACTAATGTTTATTGAAATTGACAGCTGTTTGAAGATGACTTTTGCGTATGTATACTGGACACGAATCCGCTGAGTCACGGGTAAGGTATCATATATCTTAGTAGCAAGTACAAATGGACATATTGTGACGCATAGTCTTGTCCCCTCTTGTTTTGTTTTATGTCATTATGCACAAGCACATTTGGAAATGCTAGAAGGAATAAAGATGCACGTAATTGCTGTTCCATACATTGTGATACTGAATATCATCAGTTACCTTAGAAGTTGATAAAGTTAGTCCTGCGTCCCCCAAACTGCTGATTGCATCCAACTGCACTCATAGAGCAGATGTGTTTCATCAGTAGAAGCTCAATGAAAGCATGATTGAAAGAAAAGTGAACTAAACTTTGGTGGTTGAGCCAGAATTTTAAACAAAAAATGTATGTATCTTCAATAGCATTGGTCAAGTATCCGGAATTTTGGCAACAGCCAAGAAATGAAGGGTCTCTTAGATAGATATAGGGCAATCTTCAGTACTTTTGTATTGTAATTTAAATGAAAAAAACCTTTGAAATAGAGTTTTCAATATTCAAATATAAAACGTAACTGTGTATGACCCAAGATTGAATCTCTTAAGATGAGGGGGGTTTTGTTGGGTGCATCACTGAACAAATGAAGGTAAAGTACAATGGGGGATATGATGGAAGTCAGTGGCGTTCTCAACTGAGCGTGGGATTACAGGCGTTTCATGAACATTTTGACCACCACCATCTACACTAATACAACAACAACCATAGGAATGACCAAGAAAATATGAGGTATGGGGAACCAGTTTGGGTTATACAGAGAGTAACTATCTGATGGAAGTAATTGTGTGCATTTTTGTGAGTGAGAGAGCAAAAAGTTCAGGCCTTGTTGAAATGTCATCACTTTATCATATGCTGGAACATGATGTGGTAACAAATAGAAAATTATGCCTACAGGTTTAAAATTATAGACCTAACTTTATTTATTTTTAATTGGTTTTACTGTTCTACATGAGATTGTTTGACCATCAACTTCTTATTTCCAATATTTTTTTTCCAGGCACTCTCTCATAATCCCCAAATCTCATTTTCCGTCATTAGATGCTACCCCTTCATCAGTAAGTAATTTCAATAGGTCTGAAGTTCTAATATATTTGCTGACTGGTTTTTATCATTAGTTTGTATATGCTTTTAAGGTTATAATAAATCTCTTCTCAGTGCTGGATGATGACGGCATTAACAAAATAATGAGAAAATCGTACTATGTTGATTTCATGGCATTTTAAAAGCCAAATGATATTACATGTGTTAGTGTATGTACCCGAGCATGGAAAAAAACTTCTGACAAGCAAGTATCAACGGCCCCCTTGGGTCTCTGATTGTTTCTGGATTCAGAAATTAGTGGTAAAATATAATTTGCATTAATGGCGGAAGTTTTAAAATTGAAAATCTAAGACCTCTGCTTTCATTCCATCAAATGTGGGACATGAGAAAGGACCAAAAGAGGACAACAGACAGTAGAAGGCTAGATAAATAAAACAATGACAATAAGAATAGCCGGCTCAAATAAAAAGAAAAAAAAAAAAAAAAGTCATCAATTCAAGAACTTAGCCAACCGGTAGTACTCTCCCTTGATCATGTCCTTGACATCTAAGCAACTCTCAGACTTTCTTCCCATGAGTAGCCCCTCAACATTCTTCAACTACCCTCCTCAGCGTGATTATCTATCATTCTAACACAGCATCCTACAACTACAAGTCTTGAATCTGCTTCCTATGAGAAGCTCCCTTAACCATCTCCTTGTTGGTTGTCATTACTAGAGGTGCATACCAAAGCAATCATTGATGCACAGTTCTCTCAGTGCTTCCAAAGTCTTCAATATGCAATTGTTAGACTTTCCCTGTTCACAAGTTGCAATCTCCAATGTTGCACCAATGTCTTTGACTGCACTGTCCACGATCACCAAAGTAGAACACAACATTAACAACTGGGTAATTGAAAATAGTACCTTGTTGCGTTGGAATCTGATAAATTAATGAAAATCTCATGAATCTATATAATCAAACAAAGCAGTACTCAAATTGCTGGATTTTTGTTGGATTTCATGTTTTACTTTTGTGGAAGCTGGTATTAGGATTTAAGGTGAGTGATACTTGTGACCTGATGACATGTTGGGAACATAGGGGCAAAACAAGACAAAACTTAGGGGGTGTTTGGATGAAATCAAATCACGGTTTGGAGAATAGCTTCTGAAGAATAGATTTTTGGGAGAATAAATTTTGTGAAGTGATTCTGATAAAGTAAGAGTGTTTAAATAGTTGTTATCAGAAGTACTTTTTATATATGCAAATTACTAAAAAAAGCATAAGTTAATATAATAATTATATAAAACATAGATTTTATAATATATTTTAATTTGAAGGAATAAAATTGTTAATATATTTTTTACCAACATAATTAATAATACATAAGATAATGTAATTAATAAATAATTAATATGTGTATATATATTTATAAGATATAAGATTAAATATGCTTATAAAAAAATAATTGAGAGGTGTTAAGATCATATTATTATTGAGATCTATTCTAACAGGCACAATCATACTCTCCAATTTGAGCCCGAAGCAAAATGGATTTTTCCTAAAACCATGGTTTTGGCCCAAGTCATAGTTTCGGATTATTTCTCTCTGTTTGGCTCACTCTTTCTCCAAACCATGGTTTGGGATGATACCCTACACAAACTTGATTCCTCAACGGTTCAACCTCTATTCTAATGCTATAAACTACAACAACACCTGAACCCTTTATTGTGGGTTTACTATTTCTTTTGCCTTACCAGGCGCTCCTATACTTTTAGTGACTCTCAACAGTTTTTGGAACTCTGAACTTTCAACCATTTTAAGCGAATCCTCTGGCTGTTAATTTTGTTCTAGCACCCTATTTTATTTGGTGGCTTAGCCTTATTTTGGGCCTATTGTATCCTTTTAATGCACCCCAGCACTGGCCTGAAGGTTTGGACTGATTAAAGAGCCCATTCTTTCATAATTTTGTATGTTGTTGACATTTTGTTGTTGTTTTTTTTTTTTTTACCGGATTGACATTTTGTTGTTGAAGTATACTGCCAACTGTTATAGGGGAAGAAAAACTTTGGTGACCTGGAGCTAGGTTTTGAAAATCTTGTGGGCCTTATAGAATTGCAAACTTGAGTTCTTATACAGATTAATGGAACAAAATGGCCAAAGTCATCCAATTCCTAGTTCGGAATTAACAAAAATTGTGGCTTTATTTTTGTCTGAGTATTAATTATTCTTCTCCTATCATTGTTGCAATTTCTTCCAAGTTTGGAAAGTCCACGAGTTCATGTCTCATGGGTTTTATGCTTTGACTGACACACATTGGCATGGGTTCGAGCTGGTAGGACCTGTGAAAGTGTGATTTTTCCCACATCCTGGGTAAAGTGCTAGAAAAGGATATGTAAATTGATGCAGCATTTATTTAATTTAAATGCTTGTTGCGTAAAAAATTATTCCATTTTAGTTACCAAATTGACTTATGGTGCAGGTTGTAGCTGCAATGTGTTCAAAAGTTCCATTCCTTAGCAATGCCATTAAAAAAGCTACTGGCTGTGGTATGCGCTTAAAATTCTTTTCTTCTGTCATAGACTTTATTTATATACTTATTGCCCTTTCTGCCAGGCCTAAATTTCTGTGCTTCAGTTGAACGTAATAATTTCACTGGTTAAGTATTTTGACAGGCCCATGCACATATACAATATTATCCACTTTTGCTTTGGATTTGAAAATATTACACTTTGATATTATTTCCAATCTTGACACGCTGTCCTGCTATAGAAAAATTAAATTTATGGGGCTCATTTCGTGGTCAGATGTATATATATTTTGGCATTTTCCTGAAACTTCAAAGTACTTGAGAAATTATTTTTGCATTAAGAAGCTGCCCTGTGAGTCTATGAAGTTGACAAATATCATTCCACTTCAAATTTCATGGATGTTTGGAATTCGGCAGATTCATTCAACTTGTTGGTAAACAATGGGAGAGCTGCCGGGCAAGTTATATTTCATGTGAGATGTTTTACTTAGGAATCACGCATTACAATTTGTATGCAAATTCAGTTCCCGTTAACTTTTCAAAAAATGTTTAACATCGCTAATTCTATTTCTGAACATGTGAATTTCAGACTCATATCCATATAATTCCTCGCAAAGCATATGATTGCTTGTGGACGTCTGAGGTAATATTCATTCCATCTGACGAACGCACACATACATATTTTGGTATGTAATCATGTCGTGGGATTATAAACCATGGGTAAATCTTATTGTTTTCAGAGTTTGAAGAGGCGTCCCCTGGACTTAGATGGAGAAGCTTCTCAGTTAGTTGCTCGGGTCCAAGAACAGTTGTTGCCATCAGAAGACATCTGTCATGATAGCAAAAATCCAGATTTTTGTCCGAGTAAAGATTAGTTGTATCACTGAGCTGTTGTAACTTGTAACTTCCAATTTGTCTACATATTTGATTTTTTGTACAGTCAATCATATTTTATATATAAAAATAGTTTTGATGAAGGGAATCTTTAAGTTGATTATTATGTGCTACAATTATGCTTGGATTGAAAATTTGTGCTTTCCTCTGAAGATAAATAGATTGTCAATCCGCTTGGCTTTTAAAGATTTATATCTTGAATTGAAATTTGAGGAAATTGGTTGTATTGTTTGTAATAGTTCTATATTATATATAATTGTATAATATATTGATTCATGGTTGATTGTAAGGTTAACATATTGCTCAATATGTATTTTGATTCTGTTATTCCTGTTTGTGCAGCCCAATATGCACGTAACATGAACTAGGATTTCTCTTAGTCTTTCTCTGTTTGTATCAAGCTTCGCTCGCCTTTACCAATTCCCAAAAAAAAAAAAAAAACAAAATGAACTAGTAAACATCTTGTATCTAGACGTAGATGCTACTTGAGCTAATTATCGAAGGTAGACATCACTTTTTGGAATTAAAAAAGAGAGTATATTGCAGGATGATGTCAAACAAAAGATCTCTATCTTCCAAGGGTCTTGCTTCTTACTCTTTAATTCTAAATGGAATTTATCATTTCCATTTGATTGTAGATGCAAGTCTTCTGCAATTTTTCAGTAGTCATGCTGATATAGTTGTTTCTTCATTTTTTCATCATATAAGAAATTTAGGAAACAAACTTGCAGTTTCTCCAACTTGCGAATGAAATTTAGGCAGTCACACAACTTAGATAAATTGTTTTAATTTAAATAAGTTTTATGATAATCATACAGAAATGAAATAAAATTTGTTTTTTTTTCATTTGACCTAAAATTAGTATGTTGTGTGCGTGCGTGCCTGTTTTCACCCTGGTCGTAACTTGTTTTATTTCTACTTACAATGTGGCAATGTGCCTGGATTTTAATCAAAATGTAAATTGCTGTAATGTGAACATGACTATTTTTGCTAAAATTTGAATGTCAAGCTATATAACGGCAATTATGATTTAATGAACTTACACACGTAACATGATGTTTCACCAAGGAAAAAATAGTGTATTTAACTAGTTTCTCAAGTAATCAAGGCACCCTATCAGCTCCAGTACAATTCTCAGCTTACAAAAACAGGCTAAGCAATATGGGGTTTACAACAAAAGCAACAATGAAAGTCCAGTTACAAGTTTAACGCCGAAGTTCCCATGCATGTCTAAACATCTTCAAAGAGCAGAAACAGGGATTTGGATAATTCCTCTTCTGAGGGGGGGTTCTTAACAAAAGGACATTCAGATTCCTGAACCAATTCGCCGGGCAATGACCATATATCTATCAATGTTACTGCTGCTGCTCATATATCTGCATATAAGCCTCAGAGAGTGCAACCATTTGGGGAAGAGTTTCTGAGACGTGTAGATCCTGCATCTCATACCTAAACAATTTTGATTATGAGTCCAAAACTATATTACAAAGCCATTTAGATTGATTTCATTCTGTCAGGGACAAGAACGTACCAAAGTTCTTCTGATTTGCGCTGAACAAATACTCTGTAGGATCCTTCACCGGGTTTGCCATCATGAACAACATTGGCTATTAAATCATATTTAGATCGCAATTTCTCGTTTTCCTTTGGTGTTGACAAGGGAATGTAATCTTTTAACTCCAGGTTCTTCACAGGAAAATTAACTGAAACAAATAATAAGTTAGGATGAACTTAGAAATAAGCATGCCGTATTCAGATTAACATCATTAAAGCCTGCTTTCAATATGAATTCTCACCCAACGTAGGATTCTTTTCCACAAAAAAGTTATTCTTAGTAAATCGACGCATGTGTAGAATGATGTATGGTGGCAATCTGGTGACACGATATCGCATTCTAGCTATATGAGGACGGACTACCTCCGTGATGGTCTCCCCATCAAACTTCTTTAATATGTTGAAGAGTGGAACCTGAAAAGAAAACCTAATTAGCAGACATGAGGATGAAGGGGCATGAAAAGAAACTTAAATACAAAAGCTAACTCATACGAGTCCTCGGGTTCGACAGATCAAGAAAAGTGTATATTAGATACGTTAAAGTAACAGATTATGCTTGCTTCTTATGTTTTTTTCCTTCAGTGCTTTCTCACATAGCATTTCCATGAAGCAATTCATTCAATTAAATGATTAAATTGTTGTGGATGCTAACAACTAAAATTGCAAGCCACATGCATGGGCAGGTGGAGAAGTTGTAAGATGAGAACTTGAGAATACATCATCAAATATATAATAATGGGGAGCTTTTAGGCAAAGCCATGAATCTCCTGCAACCATGTGGAGGTGCTGAACAAAAAGTGGAAATCCTATTCATAAAAATGAGAATCTGAGCTGAATATGGCTGCATTGTAGTTTAACTAAGGCAGAAGATATGGTGGGTAGTGGCCTTTGGAAGACTTGTTTATTGGGCTATTTAAACTAGAAATTACATCATATGCCTGAGGATTCTACATTCTTTTCCCTCTTACATGATAATTTTTATTTTTATTTTCTGGTGAAATACATGATACTTTTTATGAGAGAGATGAAAAGAGCCTATAACATGGTGTATTCCTTTTTGGGGCTGCACTGTTTTATATAGGAACGGGGTGGTGGAACTTCATACCACTGATGAGAATCACTCGTGGGAATTGACCAGGACAAGGTTTCTTGGCTGATTGATAGTTGGTAGCATCCATAAACTCCCCTTATATATCGACCATGGCACTTGGCCCCTTTTCCATGTTGCAAGCTTGCAATAAGGAAACAGAAATGCACTATGGCTAATAGCTTTAACTTTTAGATGTGTCTCGCATTGATCCTAACAAGATCCTCTAGTGCCAATGGATTTTATATCGTAGGCAACTTGGAACAGGTTAGCTATAGGGAGTTTATCGGGAGATCTTATATTACTTCTAAAGCAATGAAGAACAGGATTTTAAAAGCAGGTAGCTTAACAGTTTATCATACCGTTTGGTTGCTAGAGTCAAGGCTTTAAGAATCAGAATGATGTCGCATTTTAGCATAATGAGTTGGTTGCATATTTATCTTGGCACTATCATTTCCATGGAAAACCCATACTACAAATATGGGAATCAACACAGCCATGGCAAACCTTATGAATCATGACTAGCAACCTAATAATTTTCATTTGAACTCACTTACGCCCCCTCCCCCAAACTTTTGGAAACTGTTAACCTATCTCCCCTCCCCATCTTAGTCACTTTATCTTTGTTTTTATTTATTTTCTATTCCATTCTCATCCATTGCAACAACCAAACGGCCTCTAAGAGGTCATCACAAGGCTAGTATGCTTGTATATTTTCTTTTCATACAACTCATGCACGATGGTCTTTTCTTCTGACAGAAAATGGAATTTGGTTGAGTTGATGACCGAAAATCTGGGGCAAGAGTGCAGCCAGATTGTTCAGAATGCTACTCTATGCCCCCCATATATATTTAACTGATATCTTTTCAATCAAAAAGCAAGGATTCAACAGAATTTTATTTATTTAACTGACATTTTTTATCCCATTTTTTTCATTTCCTTTAAGTAAAGGATCTTGACGAATGGTTCCCATAAAGCTAAACAAATAAATACTGTATATCTCAAAGTATTTTCATCGGAAAATGAAGGAAAAATTCAAGACATTATCATGAATAGAAAGAAATAAAATGAGAGAAGCATTATTTTTCTCTGCTCATTATCAAACAAACATTGTTAAAAAAGTTCTTAATGACAGACAATAAGTACTTCGGTGGGTGCCATATCAAAGCAAAGCATTTAATATATAATCCATGCTGATGTATATTATCAACTAAAGCAATAAACAAGCCAAATGGTCATGCTTGGGGCCAATAAACCACAACACTCCTCTTTTTTTCCCCAACCCATCAAGCAAGACAAAAAATATCAGATCCTCGTGTACGTGTGACTTCTATTCAGTTCCTATACCCATTTTATTACACAGAATAGACAATAACCGGGGGGGAAAAACTTTGTCTTGGTTGTCAGAGCAGACCACGCAGTGTGATACAAGCATATCAATCATGGTTCACAATATTCAGAGGCAATGACACAGAACTACATCACAGAGATGTTACCTGAGGTATTATATTTTTCTCCATCACATCCTTGAATAGAGGTGGCGGCGGCAAGTCCAATCCTAACATTAAAAATGGCATCTTGGAAGTTTCTGTGACAAAAGCATCCCGCTCAGTGCCACCATCTGAAAGTTTGTCATTGTGGTTTTGTTCCTCATTGTTTTCTTTCTTCTCAGTGATTTGTTTGTTAGGAATTTCTTTCACAACCTCCAATTCACCCTGCAAGCACAAGTTAGTTGCAGGCTTGCAGCTAGGAAACATATGTTGGTAAAAAATAAGAAAAGCAAATGGATCAGAGAAGAACCTGAAAACACTTGTGTATTATGCTACTATTCTTCTTTGAGGTTCTAAGATCTGCATGCAGTGTATTAAGAAGCCAGGACATAAACTCAACTGGGTCAGATTGTGCACCTATCCGAAATCTTTTCTTACTGGCTTTCATCACTGCCTGCAAAAACTCATGTGGGCTAACCTGCAGACACAAGCATTTAAAAGTTAAATGCTAGGATATCAGAATGAGTTTTACAATGTCTATAACAAAAACAAACCTGTCCTTTAAAGTTTCGCGCATGCCAGATCTTCCTGGTGAGTTCACCAAATCGATGAACAAGTTGAGATTTGCTATGCTGATAGTTTTCTGGGATAAGGAAAAAATTTCTCAAAGGAGTAACTCTCATCAAGGATTGAATTGTCACATTCACAAAATCAGTCTCCTTGATGTTATTAAGTCCCACCTAAAAAATTTAATCAATGCCAAAAAATAAGCAAATAGCACTTAATGACCAGCCAGAAATGAGCGAAATTCCAGTTATTTTAGAATCAAGATGAAAAAATACCATTCCAGGAAGGTAATCAGAGCCATCAAGTGCTCTAGACCATTGCTTAATTTTGTCAAGTTGTTCAACCTGTTCTCTAGTAAACCTACAGGCAGAGATCAATAGAAAGGAACTCAGACATGCCCAGCTATATTTAAAAATTTAAAAGGAAAAAAAAAAACTCTTTTCTTTAGAAAAATGCAGTAATGATAGGAAGCTAGCAGGTAATTTAACCAATGACTGTTAAACTAAGTTAAAGGCAATGCTTCAAATGTTTTCAATTAATGATGTATGGGGGAATAAATAATCATCAAGGCAATAGTGAACAAAATGGGCATCAAGCATGCTGCCAGAATTGAAAGGTTTACATGCATGACAAAGAAAATTTACAAACGGGGAGACCACAAGGTCAACATTGCGACAGAAACCAATGTGCTAATATTATTAATGTTTAAAACAGACAGTCCAGCACATTGGCTAAAAATGACACTGCAGAACGTTGACCAAAAACAAGGGCGGTCAAGAAAATACAATAATGGAAGAAAAAAGGAAAAAAAAAAAAAGTATTCCCCATGCAATTTTTTTTGGGTTTAATTTTGGAAAGCCCATTAATTCAGTTTTGAGCTTATAAAAAGGATAAAATTCCTGAATCCTCCAACAGCTGATGATTCATATAGGAAATAGAAAATTTATAATATGTAGCCACTAGCCTTTATAATATGTAGCTACTAGCCATTAACTGATGATTTAAGAGCTACTAGCTATTAACTGATGATTTAAGAGCTACTAGCCATTAACTGATGATTTAAGAGATAAGTTTCAGGGGAAAAGAAATTGTCTGCAGCAAAATAAACAAATTAGACCAACCTTGGGTTTAGAACATGCCGAATGTCATCTAATGATGGATCATTAATTTCATATCCATCAGGAAGACAATAAACTTTCTCGGTTCGAAGATTGATATAAACGTGGTGTCCTGCTTCTAGGCTATGAGTATAAGCGTGAGACTTCTTCCCCCTTCCTTGATAATATTTCCCACAAACTAAACATGCATACACATTTAAGTTTGAAAGAGACACAGAACAGAACTTCTCAAAGTCAAAATCCAAAACCTGCAGAGTATCACCAAAAGTGAATAATAAATTTAAAAGAAGGAAAGGAAACTAGAAACTCCATGTTACAAGTAATGAAGTCAGTCACAGCCATCTTCCAACCATACTAAAGAACTAAAAAAAAATATTTAAGCCCATATGTGGTACAATGCAAAAATACAAACCAGCAAAGTTCATTGTCCAACATTCAGCAGATGAGTTACATACCTGTCTATTAACAGTATCAAGATAAGGGCAGTCCCTCCGAACTTCAACCTGGCGGCTGTGCCTGCCCACACTCAATTGTTCCTGTGAATCCTCCTCATCCTCCTCCTCAACCTCTTCATCATATCCATGCCCATTTCGATGGGAGTCACCATTTACCTTCTCACCAACAGCAGTCCTCGATTCCCTTCTCCCATAAACTTCCTCTTCGTCTACATCGGCATAATTGTTGGCCAATCCAGAGAGAGGATTTGCAATGGAAACAGGAGGAGGAGAGGGAGAAGACTCCTCAACCAATCTTTGCCTTTTAGAATCCGACGCAAACTTAAGCTCCTCTTCCTCCTTCGAGCCACTATTAATTTCCCTTTCCCGTTTTGATGCCATTCTCACTGACTTCAACTCCTTCAGGCACAAAACTATTCAAACCTATACCCGGAGAAAGAGAGACTCTGAGCAGAATGATTAAAAACCATAAACAGTAATAGCAGAATCCCGGAATAGTTGGCCACTGAACAGCACTTTTTTTCTTGAGAATGTTATAGGAACACAAAAGGAGATAATGAAAGAGGGAATCGAAAAGAGAAAGAGTACCTGCGTGGGTGGTGATAGTACGGAGACTCCGCTCTTTCCGACCCGACGTGAAAGAAGTGAATTTGTGATCGGAGTGAATTGGAAGAAAAAGAAAGACGAGGAAGCGCAGGGAAGGATCGAAGAGGAACTTACCCTGTAGCACTCACTACATTCCTCAAGAAGGGAACATTTTCGTTTTTGTTTCTCCACTCCAACCATGCTCTTATTCCTTTTTAATTTAGGAGTTACTGTTTCACATGATTATTTTGTGAAAATATTCTCCTTTTTTTTTTGCATCCTGTGAAAGTATTAAATTATAATTTATTTTATCTCTTATATTTGTTAAACTAATGGCATAAGATGTGATGTGTCTTTTGTGATCAAAATAATAATAATAAAAAAAGGCTATTGGTTAAAACAGAAAACATTCTATATGAAAATATCCTAACATTTTACTAATGGGACTAAGTTTAGTAGAAAGGAACGCCCCTCATAACATAGTAAATCACGAATCCTTATTGAGAGAAATGTTACCCAACACTCGACAATAAATGATTGTCTTAAAAAAAGTCCAAATATTCTCATACATTGTCATTTATTATGTAATGATATTTGGACATCATCAATGAAAGATATATATTCAAAGTGAAAAAGTGAAATTAAAGAAATTATTGTTAAAAAAAAATCATATGTTTAGAGTTAATTGAAAAAAAAAATTAAAATATCATTTATACTTCTTAACCTTGCGCCATTGGTTTATTTTAATTAAAAAATGTATGTTTAAAGTTAATTGAAAATAATTATATGCAGTTTGAAATAACACTTTGAGCAAGGAATGACAAATATGGATATGGAATAACAGAAGTCATTTGGACACATTAATATGTTGCTCCAAGTTTTATTTTGTCCATAAAAGCTTGAAATACGTATTTTTGTTTTGCTAACGCCCCCCAAACTCTCATATGGTCTTTGCGATAGGACCAATTGTAGGAAAAAAGATTTTTTTCCCCCCCTTTCTTTAGAAAGATGAACGTATGAAAATTAATTTTAGTCTGCAAAACTGCAGAAGAACAAAGAATTCTAATACCACAGGGATGGACAATCTTGACCCCTTCAGAGATGTCTAATAAAATCTAAACGATACAGCAAAAATTAGCATAATTAGTGCATAAGAATAGTATTACGGTTCTTAATGTAAGATTTACGAGGTATTTAGATAGAAACAAAATCATGATTTTAAAAATATTTTTACAGTATACAAAGTAAATATGTAGACAAGTTTGCCTCTATTTACAAAAAAACACTAGGTTACCCAAACACCCCTTTAGTTTGTTACAAACTAGGTCTTATATTTATAACTGATAGTACATACAAATCAAGAAATATGAACAATATAAACATCCGTGACTTCAATATCCCACAAGAGCTGCAGCGTCATATAACATTTGCCCTAAATTATTTCCTTCTTGCATATTGCCAATCATTGAACATGGAAGGAAAGATTATGGATACAAGAGATGAATTCACAATCACATTTTGTACATTCTCTCTCAATTTATAATTTTATAACCATAAAAGACATAAATTGCAAGCTCTTGGTAACCATCTCAATGTCCAGGATTCCATCTATCATTTTCAATGACTAGAGCTATCTTTTGGCATCAAGACCATAAACATAACGGTCTGATCAAAGGAGTTTTACTATCAAATCAGAGGACAGGTATGAATACTACAGAAACATCCTTGTTTGTAGTCAAGGGAGCTTCACCATATTATACATCAAATCTTGCACAACACAGAATATCCATAGCTTCTGGGGGTAATTGGAATAGTAGTTATTCAAATTTCTTGATGAGCGACAGGTCATTCAACATTTTCTCAATTGCATCATCATCATGAGACCGTCCTCTTGTCTGCAGGTAAAAAGAATGAAGCATTAAGCAACAAGCATAGATCTACTAGTTGAACTTCTAGTAGATTCATGGTTTTGAAACAGGCAAGACTACTTCAATTAACCAGCAACTCCATGAACTAGATGTGAGCTTCGTTTAGTGAGCAGTATGAGGAATGAGCCGTGTGGCTTACTATATAGGATTTTATGATCTTTAAAAGTGAGAAAAACTAAGGATCCACTGATCCAGATCCGCCATTATTGAAAGCAGAATTTGTGGATAAATCTGCTACTGAGTAATTCCAGACAGAGCATAATTCATTTTGCACAATCAAATGATAGACTGTAAGTGTTATTTACTTAATCTATTTCAGATAGAAACAGCTTAATATCAGGTTGATTATGGAAAAAATATATAACTAAGGTTCATGCGGCCAACTGTAAAGGATTCAAGAATCATATTACTAAAGCAAGAACAGCTCTGAGGAAAAGTAGAAGCAGAGAGAGGGTGGGGAAGCAAATGATAATTACCTTAATGGAGGGCACCATCGCAATAGCTTCCTCAACTGTTTCAGGGCAAAGATTTCCAAGGACACACAGCTGCACGGAAGCATCAAAACATTTAAAATTTCTTTTATTTTAATATGAAAATTTTGTTTCTGAACGGAGTTTATGAAGGGAAAGGATTAGTTACCTCAAACTCAGCCAATTGGTATCTACTTAGAATTCTGTATGTCAGTTAAGATCGCAACTGAGATGAAAGTTTATAATATATCAAGTTTCATGATTTTCACTATTTACTTTTAATGAACAAATGACTTGAATAGATTTCAAATTCTCTAATTGATGCATACCAGAATGCCATATCATTGAATTCAAGGTAACAATACTGGACTTCTTCTTGGAGTTTATTGGGGATGACAGATGAAAATATTATTTGAAGACAAAAACTCCAGATTCAAGCAAGAAAACAGAATAGTCAAACAGGATACGAATGAAAATAAATTAGTATGGTGAAACAGATAACAAAATAGACCCTAGAATAATTTGATCAAAGGTGGAAGTATCACACAGAACTGAACTGTAAGTAAGATTCAACATGGTTTTCAAGGATACTCTCGTACTTGTCTGACAGCATCGGGATTTTTATAGCGGCTGAAGCGCTTCACATACTGCAATGATTTCTCAAAGACCCTGAGAAAGAGGGGGAGGAAAAAAAGTTAAACATATAACGTTCCTAAAAGTTTTCCAGCCAGAAATTGTCACTCTCTCTTGGTGTCAATTGTTAATATTGGCAATTGGCATGCTGCAGATACAAAAATCAGAAGACATAATATGTAGCATTAACATAATTAAAATTCAGAGAGGACTTGCATGCCCTTTTCCAGTGGATCATTTAGTTCAATCAGTGGATGAGAAAAGATTTTCAGGGAATTGGATGCAGACCAAACAATATACGGCCTTTCAATGAGATCTAAAATGAATAGCTCTCTTAAGCTTATGCCTGAGCTTTAAGTCGATGTAGGTATACTCACTGAGAAACTTGATTCATAGGATCTTCAGAAGTCTGCTGAAGCTGCTCATACTTGTGCTCCAGAATTAATGCAACTTCACAGTTCATCAAGCACTTTGCTTTCAAAAACTCTGATAAATATGAAATGTGATGCAATTTAAAGACATGCCGCAGTAAAACAACCTCATTCAATTCAAGAAAGATATATCTGAATTATACATCATATCATAAATCTTTTAAAAAACAAATAAGAATTTCAGCACCTCTTTAACTTCCATGCAAGGCGAAACGAACTACCAAATAAAACAATAATGAAATATTTGATTGCATGCCTAATTTTGGAAAAATCAAAGAACAATAAATCAAGCAATCAAATGGCCATTAGTTTCTATATTTTAAAATTTTATGCTAATGTTAAGATAAATTTTGATGGGGTGCAGAACAACTCTGGACTGATATAAAAATTTACGAGTATACCCTACTCTAAACACTATAAAAAATTGGGCTGAACTTTTCAGGTCATGCTGTGCAGATGGGACTTGGTCTTAAAAGTTGATAATTTCACATGAGTAGTGCACCTTGGGAGCATGGCTTTCACAAGCAAAAGGGTGCAAAAGCCTTCCTCCTTGTTGAAGGCAGCACCTTTCATGCTGTGAGGGGGTCTGGACCTATTTGGCACCTTGCTTCAGCATGGTCGGCGCCCAGCATCTTTGACTACATTGTCCCGCTCTAGCCCATTATATTACATAATTTTCCATTTTTTTTGGGTGAAATATATTTTTCCCTTTTTTACATATCTAGTTTACATATCTAGTGGGATAAGGCTTGTTGTTGTTGTTGTTGTTTACATATCTAGTTTCCACCGTTTTGCTTCTTTCCTTCCGTAGGTAGCATGTCAACCAGATGCATTAGAAACAAACCTTGCTTTGCCCAGCATTTTGAGCATGCTTTTAACAACACTAAATTTGAATAGATAGGATAGAGGCCATTTGTTATAAAACCAAGCATCAGAGTTATGCAAGTCCAATTTCAGGATCAAACACACCATGATCAAAGACATGTAAATTCAATGTCATTATCCAAATAAGCCATGCCAGGATAGACAGATTTAATCCCTTCGAGATCAATATAGTTAGATAGAATATAAAAATTACATGGGGTTAATCCTTTTTTTTTTTTTTTAATCAGACTAAAGACAGAAAAAGTCTTCAATGATTGCTATGATTGCACAATCAGTAAATTTCCAAGGAACTGAAAATAAGCAATAAATACAAAAGCTTGCAGGTTTGAACCAGCAAAATTAGAGATGGACAATTCATCAATATTATATTAATTCTCACTTAAAATGTGCTGCGGCCAAAAAACAATTACTAGATAACCACAAAGGCATGCAGAACCACTACTTTAGCTGAAGCAAGCAGTCAGATCAAGCAATTTAGTTATGAGTTATGGGCAATGACTGCAAGAGAAAACATAATTACCATCACCGATTTTAAGCTCCGCAGCATTTTCTTCCTCTTCCCCAGACATATTCAACCAAATTGAAACCTTCAAATAAGGACAAAGACAACACATAATAAATACTAGAGATAAATTGTAACCAATTCCACTTACAAATAGAGTCAATTACATAAAATACGAACAAGGAGATAATTAGGCCATTATACATAGAAGAATCAGATCCCTAAATTCAAGCAACAGTAATACTCCTGCGTATATTTAAAATATCATAGACCGAAACTAATTGCCAAGTGAAGCAGCAACACATGTAACGAAAGTCAGATGCTACTTGAAAACCAGTGCCTAATTAACTAAGTGCATCCTAATTCTACAACCTTGCCAAACGGATCTCAGGAGGACCCCAGTTGCAATGTTTAAAAAACCCCACTCAATACATACTCAACTGCAGAAAATGAAGTGCCACTGAAGTCTAGCAAAAAGGTGCGGCGAAGTCCAACAAATTTTATCAGACAAATTCTTAAATAAAAATCGTTTGCATCGAAATTCAAAACCAAACTGTCCGCTCAACATAAAAAGAACAGGCATTTAAGTACATTCCCATTAGAAGAATGACAAAAGTTGGACTTCTAATAAGTTTACAAACTAAAATAGGACATCAAACTACCCCTTTCTTTATAAAACCATCCGCAATGATATACGCCCACAATGTTATGTCGAAATCACACGAAAACAGAAAGCCCTACCTCGATTTTCACAAGGTTTCAATTTTTCAACACATATCATCCCAAATTCAAGCTTAGATTAGAGAAGATCCATGGACAGAGATGAATGGACTAAACAATATATGACACCTCTATTAGAAAGTCAGGAGCGTTTCACAACTTGGTCAGTATATGAAAAACCAATAGCAAACTGGAAGTACCTTGTTCTGCTGATAGAGAGACTAAGATGGAGAAGGGTCACCAAACAACCTTCGCGGGAAGAGAAACGAAGCTCCAAGAGAGCCTCCGATAGCAAATGGGAAAGGAAACAGAAACTTGGACCGAAGAGACCCCCCTCTGGCCCCTTCGCCTCTTGCCTGCTTTGACCAAAGAAACCGCTCTTGGTCTCTGAAAGGGGAAAGTAAAAGTAGAAAATAATACGTCAGTCCAGAACTAGAGGCGATTAGCAATAAATTTCAGAGATTTTTTTAACAATTTCTTCCAACTACGTGTACTTAAACTCTAATGAGTTCCCCACACCACGTCTTAGCTTAACTAGAAATTTCTTTTCCGTGCGATGCACAAATTAGCATATTTAATTATATTTAACATTTGAATAAATTGCTTTATCTAATATAGCTTAAAATTTACTTCTAATAGGAATATTTTTTATTTATTTATCATAATAGAATTTGAATTAGAGATGCAAAATTTATGGGAAATAGATGAAAATTTGAAATTAATGATTTATTTCTCCATTTAAGCCTTGACATACTATCTAATTATGATACCCCCTATTTAAATCAATATATTCAAATTTCAATCAAGATATTATTCAAATTCAAAGTTAATTATTAATTTTTTTCATTTGAATCTTTATTTGAAATTGCATTTATTTATAATATTTTCTATTTAATTCAATATATTCAAATCTCAATCAAGATATTATTTAAATCTCATTAATTGAATATATTCGGATCCTACAATTTCATATCCGACCCATTTTCAAAAGTATCAGGTATTACAAGTTTTCAAGAATATAATTGATAATTGATTGATTGATGATTGATTTATATTTGAGTTTATAATACCATCAATGATGGAGTTTGTCACCCCAAATGACCCGACTTAACTCAAATTTGAATTAGTCCTCAATAATCAGCAGCTCAGATGGTATTGCTGCCAAAAAGAACTTTATAATTGTAATTATTTCAATGTTATTTTTAAAACATTATTATAAGATTAAAAAAATTAATAATTAAAATTATTTAAATTATACTACCTCCTGTGCTAATTATAAGATCTCGTTTTGTAGACTGTAAATAAGGTCTTATAATTAGGATTGGAGATAGTAATTTTTACTATGTACAAATAATGGTAAAATAAAGAGTAAAATAACATAATGATCTTTCTTTAATTTAATTCTATAGATGAAGATGTAAAAATACTTATAAACTTTTACCTAAAATGCACCTATCATCATAAGTTTTTCTAAGATATAAAAGTACCCATAAACTTGCAAAATCATAACAAAAATGATACCACTGTTAAATTTGCCTGACCTCCGTTACTTTTTACATATACTAATGTTATAAAAGTATCAAAATACCCCGAATCTAAAAAAACAAAAGAGGCCAAAGGTGCAAAAAAGGACAAAGATGTTTGGCATATTTTAAGGTGTACTTTAACTTAAAAGTTTAGGGATAAGAAAAATTTTATGAGTTTGATTTTTAAAAAATTAGATGAGTAAAGTTAAAAGTTTTTAATTTTACATACTCTTTTTTTTTCATAACCTTACTTTTTTAACTTTTAAATTAAAATCATTAAATTTTTTCCTCCCCTTCTGTGACAACAACTAGTTTTAATAATTTCATCATTATCTTCTTATTAGTCATCCAAAATCAAAGCGCGGAATGGTTATTATGCTGGACATTAATTAATTATGATTTACAAATAAACCAGTTCTACGTGTATATATACTGTGCTTAAACCATCACCTTTAATTTTCTGAGCAACTAATAGGAAACTCTTTTCCCACAATATTATCTTCATTCTAATGAGTGTAGTTATAACAAACATTGGTTTCATACATCATTGTATTGGAAATGAATAAATAAAAAGTATAATGTGTCAAAATTTGCCATTTTGGTGTTTTCTTTGTTGATGACTCTGCTAACTTCCTTCTCACATTCTTTTCCATACTAAAAAAATAAGCAATTTCAAAAAAAAAAAAAAACATACATCTCCTTCTTCCTTTAATTTGTTTTGTGCCAACATCCTGGAGCTTAAGAAGCACAAGAGGGCAGCCATGGAATGAACTTGGGAGCCTAGGCATGCATGGGATATAGATTCAAGAGAGATTAGCTTCTTTTCCTTCAGCTTTCTTCATCCTTTCTCCTCCTTTTGCTTCTATTTTGATGTTATGGTGTTTTTGCTGATTTTTGTTATAGCTGAGATATTATAATATAGTGTTATTAATTCTGCGAGACGCATCGATCAAAATAAAATTTTAAGGGACAATTGATAACGATATTGATGATAAAAGTTTAGGTAACAACCAACGAGTGTTCAATTTCTGTCCAAAAAAAAAAATAATGGGCGTTTAATATCATTACAAATAATATATAAATTGACTTTCAACGACAACTCTAAAAATTACTGAAAATTTTAAAAGCGACTTTCTGTCACTATTTAGCGACTATTACTTATACTAACAGTGACAGCAAAATAAGCCATCACACTAAAAGTAAACATTAAATATAGTTGCTATAAATCTTCATATTTTAGTGGTGACATATAATTCTGCCCAAAATTTTTTAATTTGATCACAATCCAACCTTTTATTTAAAATATCTAAGTAATTAATTTCCTAGGTACTGAATGCCAAGGTAATGCGAAGGTATGTATAGACTGATTTGTGTTCGATTCTTAAACTGTATGAGCTTAGTTCACCAGAAGTAATTAAGCATCTTTAAACTGATGCCATTTTTTACCCCCAAAACTACATCGTTTTGGGTAAAAACAAGAAAGGGTGAATGCTTTTTCTTTTCTTTCTTTTTTCCCCTCTTAATCTAGCATTTTAAAATATTTTTTTCAGTGTCATTCAGTATCCTAGATTAATTGTTAGTGTATTCAGCATATTAAAAAAAAATTTTATTAGCTCTCAATATTTAACACCTATCACCATGAAATATTATTTAGTAGCACCGATATTCTAAAAATTTTCAGCAGAACCTAATACTACCTCCGGTCCTTAATATAAGACCCCGTTTGACTTTTTGTTTGGTCCTAATTATAAGACCCCAATCCATTTTGTCTATCATATTTATGCATTTTTTTCCAAGATAATCCTTCTAATAATGATAGTTCTAGTCAATACACTTAATTAGCAAGGATATTTTAGGAATGACAACACTTATTTATTACAAATAACTAACTTAATTTACTTCCTTAATCTCCTCAAATAAGTCAACTGGGTCTTATAATTAGGACCGGAGGTAGTACCTAGCATCCATCACATTGAAATATTTTTTCAGTAGTCCCTGTTATTCGAAACTAATTTTTAGTATATTTTGCATCCCAAAATATTTTTCCTATAACACTTAGTATCTTAAAGTATTTTTTAGTCCAATATTTTACAGTTTTGAATGCACTAAAATTTAGTTTAAAATGCTGGGTACTACTAAAAATACTCCAGTTTGTTGCATGTTAGATAATAAGTGTTATTAAAAAAATATTTTAGCACATTGAGTGGATTAAAAATTATTTTAGAATACTAGGTGTTACTGAAAAATATTTTAGAGTACTAGTAGACAATATTTTAGAATTCTAATTGCACTACTAATTAATTTAGGATACTCCACAGCACTAAAAAAAATATTTTAGGATGTTAGATTTAAAAAAAAAAAAAGAATTCACCCTCTTTTATTTTTACCCAAAACAAAGTAGTTTTGGGGGTAGACAGGAGAGAAGCCACGTCGTTTGTGTGCCAGGCCGGTTTTAAACTTTATGTCCTCTTCCCCCAACCATTTCAAACAGGCGCTTAAATTCGCGATTAGGTCTGAATGTAAACTTGTTTATAGCATGTGATTTTCATTTGATTTTTAACAGTATAGACCTTAATTTAGCAAAAGTTAAGGCTTATTTACAGATACACACACACAAGCGCACACATCTTGATTATTAAATACTACTATTTCCAGTTTTTAATATAAAAGCTAGTTTAATTTTCAATTTAGTTTTAAATATAAGATCTCAAACCATTTTAACTTTCATATTTATCTATTTTTTTTCAAATAACCGTTATAATTGTTACACATGTTAAAAGTTTCATCAAATGGTAGTTTTAGCTAATATCCATGATTAGTAAGGGTATTCTAAGAAAAAAATATTTATTTATTACAAATAACTAATATAACTAATTTTTTTAATCTTTCTAAATTAGTTAACTGGGTTTTATATTAAGGATCGGATTGTGCAAACTATATACTACTTCCGGTTCTAATTATAAGAGCTAGTTGACTAGTTTGAGAAGATTAAGGAAATAAGTTAAGTTAGTTATTTGTATAAATAGGTATTGTATTTCCTAAAATATCATTGCTAATCAAGTGTTTTAGCTAGAACTACCATTGTTAGAAGATTATTTTGAAAAAAAATATAAATATAAGAGATAAAATAGATTAAGGTTTTATAATTATGACTAAAATAAAAATCAAATAAGATTTTATATTAAAAACCGGAGCTGGTATTTCTTTCCACGCTTCGTTCCTTCTTTCTGACTTCGTCACGTGCTACTAAAAGATAATGACATGAACAGATGGAAGAAATTTGCCTCATGGCTTCAGTCGGGAAAAGTTTACTAATATGTTGAAGTGAAAATAAAAAGAGGTATTTTGGAATACCTCATGATAAACCTAAATTATGCTGTTGCCAGCAAATATAACTTCGACTTAGCGCCATATCAATCAATCAATCATGATCACTTTATCACTCGAATATAATAATTTAGTGCCCCCATAGGGACGGTGTGATTGCCGCTTGAAGATGTTTATATCTAGTTATTTTCGCTAAATTCTTATCAGTGTGGGACTTAATTAATTCTCCGAACTAAGATCTGTTCCCATTTATATAATGACAACGCACGGCTATAATTAAACGCTTCATTATATTCCTGAGATATTATAGCTAGTAATGTTAAACAATGTGAGCGACATGAAAACTGAAAAGTTTTGAACACTTCTCATGAATTAATAGCATATCTCTGACTTTTTAATCTTATTACTCCCACAAATTGATGATGATGAAAAGAGGGGAAAAGAAAGAAGCAAAAGTCGGGAGATGTCGTATTTTTGTTATATACATTAGTTATATGATC